CCAGCCTAGTTTTGCCCTGGATCTGAATGCATTTACATCAGACATTTAAATCGCTTCAATCCTGAGCTACATGTAAATAAGCCCACAGCAGGAGCGTGTGCCCGCCCCCTTCACTCGGCCCAGTTTGTTTGTAGCCTCTCACCATGCGGCTGCATGGCTGTCTAGCCCTTGTCATCTCCTCAGTCACCTTCCCTCTCAGCTTCTTTCCAGCAGCATAGACTCCAGGGGGCCTGAGGCCATCCCCAAACACACACACACACACACACACACACACACACACACACACACGGCACCAGACTGAACACCCTCTTCCGTGTCTCTGAATAGGTGGAGAATCTCTCTGGAGCTTCATGGGATTACTGAACTCAGTGGCTCGGCCAAAGTGAACCTGCCGCTCTGGCCAAGCGGACCAGCCTCTCTCTCAAAAAAGCCAGTCTCACTGCCACCGAGCCCATGTCGACTCACAGGCACAGGGTAGAACTCCCCCCGTGTGATTCCGAGACTGTCACTCTCGACGGGACGAGAAAGCCTCGTCTTTCTTTTGCGAAGTGGCTGGTGGTTTCAGACTTCTGGCCTTACGGTTGGCAGCCCAACACAGGATGCCACCGGAACTCCTCCGAGCGCCTAAAATCTCGCCAGAAGGTGCTGAAGAAGGAGAAAGACTCAACCACAGTCCCCAGGATGGGATGACCAGGAAACTTCTGGGGAAAGAAGAAAATGTTCATTCCAATGCCTTCGCCAGCCTGCTTACCAAGGGTCCCTCCCATCCAGGCTGAGGATGCAGATGGAAGGACAAGCGTTTGGGTCCAAGAGGCCAAGAGACCCACAGCCAGAACACTCCTGGACCACATGGCTTGACAGGAGAATGCTGCCAGACACTCAGAGAATTGACAGCTGTCCAGTTTAAACTCTCCTGAAAGGTGGAGAAGAAAGTAAAACTCCCTAGTTTACTCTGAAGCAAACGCACCCCTGATACCAAAACAAGGCAAAACCACCACGAGACAAGAAAACGATGGGTCGTACCCCTTGTGACATAGATGCCCAAGAAATTCCTCCACAAAATACTAGTGCACAGAGAGGCCAAGAGAGTGAGGGGCACAGCCAGGTGTGAGAGACTCCACAACACCCACCTGTGGGTTCTTAACCCCTAGGAGGCAGCCTCTACCCCGCAGTGGGGCAGGCAGGGATGTAAAAGGGTTTATTCCAACCCCCTGGGGAAATGAAAATACTACAAACACATTGGAGAAATACATATCAATAAGTGATGTGCTGATCTAGGACGGCTAGAGAAGGCTTCCCAGAGAAGGGGGCATCTCAGTGGGGTTTTGAAGGGTGACTAGGAGTGGGCTAGATACAGTGTAGCAACCTGTAAACATTTGTAGCAGAGGCTGCTGTTGTCTTTCCCACATCCCTTGACATGCAGGTCTCTCACATTGAGCTTTGGGTATGTACTTAGCCAAAGATACAGAAATTGCCCTCAGCTGACGACTAGGGGGGCAGGGGGTGGGGGGATTGGAGGACTCAGAACCCAGGTCTTTGCTTCGTCATTCAACTCACAAGTAGATGTGTTCTACAGTGTCCCTAGAAGTCCCCTGCAGGACTGAGGGCCCACAATGGTGACTGGCTTTTGATTTGCTTCCTTCCCTGTCTTGCTTGCCCATTCCCCATGGGTGCTGTGGGGGGTCACCTCCTATGGACACTCCTGCCCCTAACCTTGTCTACTGTTAAGGATTCAGATAAAGACCACACCCTGGTGGAGGTGACAGTGACTGGTCGGAAGACTAGGGATAAAGGGAGTTGGCTCCACCGAATGCCGTCCCTAAGCAGCGAAAACTAGCTGTCCATGCCCCAATAAAGGGGTTTGAAAGGAATCAGGCACGTGTTAGACACCTATGGGGACAATCCAAAGCTGGGCATGCTCAGGCCAAGGTCACCTGGGAGAAGGTGAAGGTGAACCTGGGCATGCACACTAGACACCAGTACCATTCCATCACACCTGAACGAAGAACAGCCAATACCCTCAACCACGCCCCCCTCCCCCTTCAAGTGGGAATAGGAGGGAATCAGCAGCACAGGTTCAGTGCAGACCACTCTCCTGCTCTCTCCCCGGTTCCAGAGCACTCTTTGTGGCCAAGCACCCTTCTTTGTCTCCAGGACTCCTCTTTGGGTTCCGCAGCCTCCTCTTAACAGCCATCTGTCCGTGTGGTTTTTCCTGAGCCCCCTAAAGCGGCCATTTTTGGTTGGGAAGTCTCCCATGGACTCCGCCCATGTGGCCTTGCATGGTTTCCAGAGAGAGCATGGACTATCTGAGACTGTATTGCCCGAAACGTTCTCTTCCCTCACAAAACGTACTTGGATTCCAACAGTGCTTCTGCTGCATGAAGTCTTCCAGCTGCAGGAATTCTTGCAGCGATGAGAAGCAAACCTGGGAAAACCGTCCCAGAAACCTAACAAGAGCATGAGCTGCCCACAGCCCGGGATTCCGGGCGAAATGCAGGGAGGCGGCTGAAGAGACCGGAGACTCGGGTGAGATTCAGTCAGTTGGCACTGGTTCAGCAAAACTGAGGCCTCCTCTTCTGTTGGGTTGGGCAAACCAGGTGTTAACGTGGCACTTGTAAGCAGGGTTCTCTCTATGGTGGGTGGTTGCCCAGCTGCCCAATTCACATTCCTCACTCCTTTTTAATGTTCACCTGGGCACCGGCATATTCTAGGCACCAGAAGTCATGTTCATTCAGTCCATAGGTATAAAAAATTAGAACTACACTTGTAATGTTTATTTATTCATTCCATAAACTCATGACGGTTTTGATGAAATACTACATTTATACTCCCTTGTGTCTGTGACTTCAGTAGCCAAACATATATAGACGAAATGTGCCAAACAACCAGAGGTGACAGGCTGTCCTTCGGTTCGGCTTTGTGTCCCACGAGCTATGATGAGTGAATTACGCAATTCCTGCAAGTGTTCAAAGAGCTAACAATATTGCCAGAAAAATCGCTGTAAGTTCAGCAGAAACGGAAAGGGGTTTTTCAAAGTTGAACATCATATGCTCAGAGAAGAGTGGTCGCCTATTTCTAATCTATCAAACACAATGACTCTTGTCTAACTGGCCTACCTCTAAAGGAATGGATTCCTACTCTTACAATGAAAAGATGGTTACAGATAAGTCACCCAGCCGCTGATGCACGGATAAAAGTGAAGAAAACTGCAAGTGAGGAGCCAATCAGGAAACAATATAGAAATATCTTAAATAGCAGTTTCATTGGGGGTTTATTTGGTCAGGTATTATTGAATATTTTGATTAATATTTTAAAACTTTTTTTATAACAATCTACTTTTCTGTCCCTCCTTTATTGTTCCCAGGTAAGTATTAACTGTATGACATAATAAACAACCCTTTGGTATATCATTTTTGTAATACTTAACACTGTCATTAGGGCAGTGAACCAGTTGTTAAATTGTTTGAATCCCACCACTGACTCTGGTCTTCTTCCTCAGCCCCTGCTCAGACTCTCCAGCAGCAGTTCTTAACCTTCCTCATGCTGCAACCCTTTCATGCAGTTCCTCATGTGGTGGTGAGCCCAACCATAACATTATTTGCGTTGCTACTTCATCACTGTCATTTTGCGACTGTTATGGATCGTCATGTCAATATCGGGTAGGCAGGATGTATTTTCATGGTTGCAAATTGAACATCCTGAAAGCTTAGTGATGAGTCACAACAATAACATGTCATTCTATCTTGTGACATATTTATTTCTAATAACAACTACATGAAATTGTGTCTTGAAGCAGGTGTAGCATGGGTGACAGTCTTCA